ACACACACACACACACACACACACACACACACACACACACACACACACATATCACCGAAATTGGCGAGACAGAAGCGGAATATTAAAAATGATACAAAACAGCAACTTTGTACTTACATTAAAAAAAATTAAACCACGGGATTGCTAAAGTGAGTTATTCAGACTGTTTTGTTTAATATAAGGCAGCAGATGCCCGCCACACAATAAATACGTCGTGGTCCGCTTCAGCGTTGTGTTGAGTAGAAGTTAAACACGAAATGTTGACGTTAATTATAACTGGCCCTTTGAGGGAAACCATAATGCTCACATGGTCCTCGGTGAAAATGAGTTTGTCTACTGGAACAAAATGTTTATTGTTAGAATGTTAGACGCATGCAACCCCAGAAAGAGAGGTTTTTTGAGAAGCATGTATGAAATCATACATGTACTGTATACAGTATGTGTCCGCAGATGCTTTTTTTTATTTGATCACTGTCCTATAAAGACCTATTTAAGGTCACAAAATATGTTAGAGGGAGAACAGAAGCTAAAGTTGTTCTTAGTGGTCATAACCATGATTAGTCCAAGTGTAAAATAATCAATACCAGGTCACTGCCCACAACAACCTTTTATGATATGTCAACTAATCCCAAACCACAGTAAAGGCATTTTCACAGAGCTGTGTCCAGAGAATACGTCACATAAATGAGTTTCCTAAAGCAAGTCATAAATCTTCCTCACAACAAAGAAGGGAGGATCTTCTTTCAGATATTACCTGCGCTTAATAACTCTTTGCTCTAAGGCTGAAGATGAACYGCAGTTAGTGGTAATTGGCTTTGCAGTGATGTGTTCATTCATTTGGCTGATGTTGGGACTGATTGTGCGTCGGAGCGGCGTGTTTCAGGGAAGAAAGCAATTAAAACATTGAACCTTTGCCACGCCGAGAACAGCCTTTTTGCTTTCTTCTTCTTGTTTACTGGCAAAAGGAGGGGAGTCCTGGCCTGCCGCAGTTAGGGAAAATAATTGTAGCCTCTTAGATCATTGTTTGCACTAAAAAGACATTCTTGACACCAGAGCATATGCTAACTCAATTAGACATGCACTCTCAGACTTTAATTACTGTTATTTCTAAGGGACTCAATTACAAATACAATATTGTTCCGACATTCAGGTCTGCATTGCCCTTCACTCACAGGTGATCTATAATTTACTCAGTACAAAAAAATATATATTTTTATTGAAAGGATGTATATAGCTGTGAAGTAAATGCAACGATGCAGCACAGCCCTGGAGATTGGCCCCATCTGTTCAAGGTTCTGCTATGTRGTTAGAAACTCATTACAATGTGGTCCCCAAGGTTTGTGCACCCCATCACCCCTTACCCACCCACCCCCCCTTTTGTGTCTCCATTTGTTACCTCTTTGTCTCATGGCTAAAAGGGTGGGGAGTCAGGGACAACTGCTCAACCGCAGAAAGGGGGAGGATGATGGGCCGCATGCATTAATGGAGACAGTATACGTGAAATGGGCCTGGTGGAAGTGACGGTTCCTGGTCGTGATTTATGCTTGCGTGAGCACACGGCTGAGGCCAGGGCTGGAGATGGGACTGGGTGGAGGAGCTGTGGCGATGCGGGAGGGCGTGTGGGAAGGGATGCTTCTGTTTGTTTTGCTTATTCTCTCGTCCATGTGCAGCTGAAGTGGAGAGCTGAGCTGCTGGGAGTTGCATTTTGCAGTTGTGTTTCAGAGGATCACACTGGACTTCAGTAAGTCAGTTTTAGTTTTTTTAATATCCTGACAGATGAACAAGAACATGTTTTATTTGCGGTTGTTGTGAGGTCATTTCAGCTTCATGCAATTTGTCTCCATTTCTGTTAACTTTGCAGCTCTTTATTTCAAACTTTTCTTTTAGTTTTTGCTGATTTTTTCTTATTTTTTTTGGCACATTTGCTATATTCTGTGTTTAATATGAGACAAGTTGGCAGCCAGAAGTGGTTAAAAAGCTAGAGGAAACCTTGCGATGTGCATGCTGCTTTTTGATCAGAGAAATCCTGTCTCTTTCTCAACTATCAACATTTATATAAGGTTTGATTTTACAGTCTACTTTGTTCTGGCAACTTATCTTCCTCTCCAGGAGGGTGTTTCTGACCCTGTGCAGGTTCTTATTTTTTCTTAATTAATGCAGCTTGATGTGCCAGCCGTCATCAAGAGAATAGCCTCGGGGAGAAAACGGCCTTATTTAATGGGGACGAGGATTCATTGCTTTTGAATAATTGTTTTGACAGCACTGTTATTTATTGATAAGAGAATATATGTTTAGTACATTAAAATGTGCTTTGGAGGTAACTTTACTGAAATGACAGTAGAAATGTCACTGTCTTGACTGCCACATAAACAAGTAACATCATTATTAATGTTGGCAGACCATGTCTGGACCACTATGCTATTAAATTACTAGAAAAGTCTGTTTTATAAAAGCTGACGTACCATGACAATGCTAATGTAGAATATTTTAGTTTTGTCAGTATTGCATTTGTGTTTGACTCAGCTGCTAAGTAACAGAACCCCCTCCCACCCCCCCATCCCCCCAAAAAAATGTTTTGATCAGATTTCTGGACCGAAACCCAAACCGGATCAGGACTCAGTTTCCAGAGGGAGATGTGGGGACAGTTGCTAAAACCACAACCCAGACAAGTTTGCTTTTATGGAAGGACAAAAACAGAGCCAGGCTGCATTTTTCTTTCTTTTTTTTCCATTTGATGTTTATTACAGTTCAGAAGGGCGTGACTTTGGACTGACCTATGAGCAGCATACCATTCTCTCTGCTTCCATGTAAAAGTTAAGTTGAGAGATAATTGGGAGGTAAAATTTTAAGACAACTTTTAGATGTGCAATAGGAATCGCAGCTGTTATTGTATTTTATTTTATTTTTGCAGATGTAAGTTACAGGAGGAGAGACGGCACACCGAGGAACTTCTGTAAGAATTCTATAGCTTTGCTGTCTGTGTGTTTTACACAGAAAGTGGATTTGCTCTGATCTGTTTACAAATCCATTAGTGTGCCGTTAAAGTGCACGGAACGAGCCAAGCATGGGCGTCCCATTCACAGCCATGCTTAATTTGCCGATTGTTTCTCYCTGCTTGTCAAGTTAAAGAGTTTAGTAGCAGTTCCAGGAGGAGGGTGACCTCTCTCAGGTATTGTTGCCTGGCTCAAAGTGTCTTTGCACATTACGCTCCCTTGCACAATGCTGTTGACTTCAGATTGGCATGGGATGTTGGAAGGAAGTGGATGGTAGCAGACAGCAGTGGGCTTGACTGAGAAACAAACAAGCTGTGAAGAGAGAGCTGAAGGTTTGCCAGAGAAAAGATTAGAGTGGCATTTGGCTCGAGAACCAGGATGCATCGCTGCTTTTGCCACACTGCCATGGCAACGCAAGCTTCATGCCTCCCTTGTAGCCCCCCCCCCACTGAGAGCCCAGACTGTACCAAAGAGCCATTTAAAGATCTTGACCCCAACATTCACCAAGCTGCACAACATAAATCGTGTTTTCCTAAACCCAGCTGCATGTAATAGACATTTGCTGTCATCTCCGTTTACGTCCTCCTTTCCACAGCTTTCCTTAAATAACATGTAAATGCGTGAGCTGTAAAAAATAAAGCCTATTATAAGTGTGCATGTAACCTTAACAGAGCTGCTCTGAAATCCCATCAGTCCCAGAGCTCTCATTTTGTCATGCAGGGCACCTCTGTTCCCTGGTGACCAATCAGGAGTGCCTCCTCGGTGGCTAAAAGCAGCCCCTCACCGCCTCATCATCACAAGTGATTGACAGCCACCCGGAAGGAAGAAAGAGGGGAGTTATTTACCTCCTCGTGTTCTCATGGGGGCGACGTTAATGATCTCAGCCAACAAAATAATACAAAGAGGGAAAAGCCTGAGAAGTCGGTGCCTGGTTGAACCGTTTGGAGCAGTTTCGACTGCCTTTAGAGAGGATTTGAAAAATAAGGGTGGCTGTGAGGAGARTTTCAGAGACAGCAGAGAGACAGAGGAAGCAGCAGAACCTAGACAGAAATAAAAAGTAAAGGGAGGCTTTTGAAGAAAGTTGGCTTTTTTTTTTTTAGAAAATTCTCTTTGGTTTTGTGCTCTGTGTTTTTGTGTCACTCAGACTGTGGACTCTTTGGTTGAATGACTAACAGACTGTGAGGTAAGGCACACTCTGTATCTCCAGGGAAAGTCTCTTTTTTTACTGTCATGGGTTTTAGTGTGCTAAATTGTACACTTCACAGTTTTCTGCATACTTTTTCAGTTAGATGTTTGATAGTGAGTGTTTCTTCCAACAGGGAACTTGATGGGAACAAACATTTGGATGAACACACATGCTTACCCCCCAATGACTGGATTTAGATTTAGGTTTCTTGTTTGTGTTACATTTGGAGTCAATACTGACTGCAACAAAGATCTGGACCATTTTACTTACCCTCATATTTCTTTTTTTTATTTTTGTTTCTTTTTTATTTCTGGACACTCCAGGCTAAACTGAAACATAAGGATTCCTGGCAAGGCATTTGGCTGACTACTAATCCAAATAAATCTGTCATTTGATCTGCTGCTTCATACTATTGTATAAACATGTGTCCTGCACAGAAATACCAATCATTTRATGTTAATGAGAGGTCATTTCAGGWAACTGGTTGCCTCAGAATTCATAGTTCAGCTGTGAGCTGAGAAACTCATCAAATGCGATGTGATCAGCCTCTCCGTTTGGATGCCAATCGGGTCAGGCTGCATATGTTAGTTATTTTCTGCGCAGCTGAGGACCAGCGAGCRGATGCCAACAGTCTGAAAACTTTCAGCACTTTCTTCACTGGCAGAGGAAACCTCAGCGSATTCCTGCGAGTTTCCATTTCGCTGAATTTGTCCACATTTTTAAGTTAAATGTGCTTAGTTTGGTAGCAKGTATATAGAGATCCTCTGTCCAGTGCAGCTTTTCTTTTAATCATGCAAGGTGCCAATAGTGTTGTGTGCCCATATCAGTTAACAGTTTATTGATTTACCCCAGTTATCTAAGATAAACTTTGAACCATTTGTCCTCTCTGGAGCATAAAATCATATTTGACTGCCATAATTGATAGTGACTCTATTAAATCTGTGTGAAAAACATTTCCAACCTCAATCATCAAATATCTAATAGGAATGCAGAAAACACTCAATGCTGTTTTTGTTGTGTTCAGCAGGGGTTTATTTTGCTTAAAAAATACAGCTTTGTTGTGTGACATAGTTTTCTACTGAAGACTTAGAACCAGCAAAGGTCCTGCCCCCTCTCCTCATGATTGGTTAGCTGAACATTTTGCAGCCCACAACATCTATGGGATAGTTTTCAGTCAGAGGACATACCAAAGTAGAAAGTTTTGATCTTTCAGCAGCCTTCGAGGACAGGGTTAAAAGCTCAGAAACTCACAGAGAGTCACAGAGGCGAGTTGCTTTCCTTTAAGTTCAGACAAACTGCAGTGGATCAGCTTTGCCGAGTCGAAATATCAGCCAGTGACTGACTATAGAGGAGGATTCTTTTTTTCATTTTGCTGCTTCTTCATGGCTGAAACCATGAGGCAGGTGAGTCAGAAGGTTACTCTAAACTCATTTTGTATTTTAGACTATACAGCCCGCTGTGCTTTCCAACTACARCATGAGTCACAATGTGCTTCCAAGCCTCCAGGCAGGGATCTGTTTGAGAGCTAAAGTTCTTTGGTTGTTGTGTTTTTATCCCTCTTGTTCTGAGCAGGATAACACTTCAGGGATAAGGTGACTAAGTGAGAAGTGAGAAGACTGGGGGAACTTTGTGAAAAACTGTGGGTGTGGACAAAATGGATTTCTAGTGACACAACTGCAGTTCACTGTACGCTTTGCGGCTTTTACTATGTTCCTGTTTCTCTCTGWGCTTTCAAATGTTTGTTGTCACTACAGTTTACCTTGATCTCTTATTTTTTTTAATGTAGGATGATTGTTCCCTTTAGCCAATGCACTTTAATATACGTAGTTAAAGTTTGAGATTCTCACCAGAAAATGAGGAAAACCACCTTCCTCAAGTCCTTATTAATTAGTAACTGGYTCATGTGATGAGGTCATCCTGTCACCAGAGCTACCTCTGATCAGTAGTGCAACAAATAGATAACAAACTATCACCATGGCGACACATCTCAAGTACCAGACAGATTTTGGCCTTAACCAGGCCACCTTTGGTACACATTTCTCAGTTTGGAATATGGATAAGAATATATGAGGCACATCTTGCCCCAAATATATTTTAAAACTCACTGAACACTCTGTGGACCAAAGCTGCTCATGTGAACTAACTGTCTCAGTTTGTGTTTTAGTAAGGGCCATATATGGCTCGTAATTTCTTTAAATAATATTTGATCCAAACAGCTTCTGAAGTAAAAGAAATTAGAAAAATAAAATTGCAATAGAAACAAGGGATATCTGAAAAAGATGTCTAAAAATATCTGAAAATTTCACCAAAAGTAGAAAACAAAATTTTATTATCCACCTATACTGCAGGTTTAAAGTTATACAAATGAATATCTTAACCAACATCTCATCAGATCAGTTTAATGTGAAGTTTTTGGTCAAACAGTGAATTGGTGTAGGTGGACAACATGCTTTTTTATCAACACATGTGTGTTATAATTGATGAAATTATATTTTCATCGCAACTAAATTTTGTTATTTATTAAGGAAAAGTGTTTTTATTGTTTGAAAAATATGTAATTTGTAATGATGCTAACTAAGTTAGGACAGATAAACTTCCATTAGACTGTTATACAAACCAACCACAAGATGTCGCTGTTTCCCCTTTTCTAGTGTTGGAAAATATTCTTTGACGTTTCTTGAACAAACATTTAGAAATACAACGGATAACTCAGGATAAGTTTGTTATTTAGTACATTTTTTGCTTTTAAATTTAAACTTACATTTCCTCTGTTTGAACTGCTGGAGTAGCAGGTTACAGCCGCCTGCCTGGAAAGTCACATTCCACAAAGTTCCTGTGGTTTGTGGAAAAGATCCGGTGTTTTCCCGCTGTTGCCACCTGCCAAGCCACGCACAGGAAATGAGTTTAGGGCAAGTTTCTGATGCTGACCAGGATGACCTGTGAAGTTCAAACAGTAATCAGGCAAAGCAAAGAAAAATAGAAGAAGAAAAGAAAAAAAAAACTTCTGAATGTCGTGCATTTTTGTACATAATCAGTTATAAAAGAACTAGGAAAATGTAATTTTCTTCAAAAACGCGGTGTGAATTCTTAGTGCTAAACATCTTTGCTGAAATCAGCTGAAGATGATGAAGCTGAGCACTTGAGAAACAGGTTATACAAGCTAAAAGGATCACTAAGTGAAAGTAGCAAAATGCMAGCTAAAAGAAGCAAATAGCTAAATGCTAAAGTGCCAAAAGACTATAGCTACAAGCTAAAAGTAGCTAAAGGTAGCAGAAATCTACATTAAAGATACTGTAGCAAAATGTTACCTAAAAGTAAAAGTATGTCATTTAAACCTAAAGTAGCAAGACTATCTAAAAGTGGCAGAAAGTTGGCTAAATGCTAAAATATCAGAAGTTTGAATAAAAGCAAAAAATATCAGAATGGTCGCAAAAAGCGAAAAAAATATAAAAAGACTAGCTAAATGCTTCAAGAAAAAAAGTTTGGCAAAAGCCTTTAGCCAAAAGTAAAAGTAAAAAAAAAAAAAACTTAAGCAGAACAAAGTCTGAATCTATGGAAGCCCATTTCTGCCACCCTGTTAAAAAAATAAAACTTGTATCTCATAATTATGAATTAGCTACCTCATAATTATGACTTAGCTATCTCATTATTATGAGATACTATCTCATATTTATGAGATAGCTAAGTCATAACTATGAGAAACAAGTTTTGTTTATTTTTTATCAGGTTGGCGGAAATGGGCTTCCATATGAATCAACTAATAGAATTATTCATTTTTGTAAATAAAGTTAATTATTTTTGAAAAGTATAGAAGTTACAAAATCCAAAAGTCATAGCACCTTGGTGAGATAGATGTTTTGATATACGAATGACTAAAATAGCAAAACATGCTGACTCAGCGCTCACACTACACCAGACCTTATGTGCATTCAGGGCTTAACTAGTTTTTCATGCAGGCTAAAACTTATTAGCAACTCAATTATGTGTTCTCCCTGCAAGCTAGAGCTTTTATTACCACACCACAACCTTATGCCACCGTTATTCTTCTCAACGCCATCACGTTTGACATATGAGTTTGAAATTCAGTCGCCAAGATGTTAAGGTTAGTAATTAACTTGTCCTCTTTAATTATTTAAACAACAGCATCTGTGGCTGTTAGTCGGGGCCAGGCTCCATTAGGCTAATCTGGGTAGTGTGTGCAGCTGCAGATCAGGTAGATTAGTCAGTCTAATCAGCTGGCTGCTGCTGCTGCAGCTGTAAATCACATTAGGCCTGAGTGGGCCGCTGCTGAGCTGGCTGCTGCTATACAGGAAGCTGCAACCGGCCCCACATTGGTCACAGCTACGCTTTGAAGACAGGATTACAGATAAATATGTTAGGTGTCAGCCCAAGGAAAGAAGACAAAACGCAATCGCAATCTTTCAGGCTCTGAATAGCCTACATAGTTAAGAAYTATCATTAAGAGTGATAAAAGACCGTGACCAAAAGGATTAGGGAGGGCTTCAGCAGGAATTTTTTYTCATAACGGAGAGACATTGTCGTTATTTGATCTCAGCTGGGTCTATTACTTGTTAATCAACCGAGTCTACAAATCTTAGCATTCAGAAAGAATTACATTGAGCTCRTAGGCACTTTTAATTTTACCTTTGCTGCGGCTTTTGAAGAATTAACTGCAATCACATGCTAATACCACTATACACACAAAGGATAACTGTGTATCCTCAACATCCTCAAAAACATATCCTCAATCAATACACTGTGTACACTGTATAACTGATGATTACAAATTTTAATGTAATGTATAGAAAAAATAGTCTATTATCGCCCTCTGATGAAGGCAAAGTGGCCAAAATGTTTGTCTGTGTCAAGATCTGTGTCTTTTACAGAAATATATGAATCACTAGACTTTAGGTCCTTATAAACCCTGTTAAACAGGATTGTGCAAAGACACTTAAAACTCAATGAAACCTTTTGCATCAAACTGTTTTATAAACTCGAGGTTTCTTTTTTGTTAATATGTGAAACTCGGCTAAAAAGTTGAAAAGCAGATTCGATCATTTGTTGGTTTGCTTAAAAAATCAGTTTGACGAGTGCCCCCATTTGTCTACTGAAACTGATTTCCCTCCCAGTAGGAGAAAAATAAACAGAAGGCCCCCAAGGGACGGTCCAATGTCTTACTGGCAGTGTGCACCCACAGGTTTGTCTGAACTTTTGCATAATTTTAATATTTACAGTGAGTCTGTGTCTGAGTGAATAGCCACCCTGGGGGRTGCCTTTGAATGATGGGAGAATGAAAATGGAGCTCAGCAGGGGTGGGTTTGGAAATAGCAGCACATGGTAGACAGATGGTTCCTCGGTGACTCCCACATCAGGACCAGCTGGGACAGACATGACTGTCGCATACGTGTCTGTGGTCTCATTTCAAATTGTCCTCAGGGACTTCGCCGTTATTGTGCTGTCTGTAAAACGATACAGAGTTTCAGTCTCTCTGTTTGGAGGATCTGACAGGACAACCCATTGATTCCACATCACTGTGTTTGTTGGGTGTCCTCCCCGATGTTTTACTGTCCCCCAAGTGCTCTCCTCTTTGTGGTCACATAAGTCCCTGTTAAAAGAACTCCAAAAAAAAAAAGTTTCCTGTGCTGTTCGAAGCAGTGTGAACAGGCAGCTGTTAAAAGAACTCCAAAAAAAAAAAGTTTCCTGTGCTGTTCGAAGCAGTGTGAACAGGCAGCTCGAATCTGATCCGGATGCTTTGAATTTGTGAATGGGCAGGGCTGTGAGGACACTGACCTGCCTGTGAGGACATGGGCTCTGCACGGTCCCGTCCCTTTCGCTCGTTCAGCAGCTTTTTCCTCCCTCTCCCCTTGCAGGCTGTTGTCTGCTCTCCCCTCTCCTTCCAGTACTGGCCACAGCTCCTGCTGTAGGTGGAGCGGACTTTCCTGGAATTGTCGGGCAACTTTTCCTGTTGTGCCTCTTGCTCAGTCTAATGACAGCTCTGCTGCTGCAGGATTACTGGGGCTGTGAAGACTTGTGCCATCTGGACGAACACAAAATGCTGGAGTTTAAAACTAGTGCATTTGTTTGAAAGCAGATTTTTTTTCTTCTTCTTTTTTATGATTTGGGTCAGAAGCTTTCCTCCAGCAAAAATGTCTTGGCAGTGCAAAGTGGGGCGAAATCCATCGGTGGGTAAAGTAAACTGTATGAATGGGAGAGCTTTTAGSAGTGCATTATGTACTTGGGGCTGTTTGCTGTGGCTTTTTGCCACGGTGCTATTTTACAAACCTTTTAGAAATTCAGGATATGTTCTATTACAGTCATTGACATCAGAGAAGTAGCCATTTTTCACTTTACTGAATGCTGCTTAGCAATTTTGTATTCAGGATATTCTGTTTGAACCAACAACGTAGCACAATTGATAAGCCCTAAGAAAACTGTTGTTGCTTGCAGTTTTGTTGAAAAGGATTTGCTAAACTAAATAAAAATCAAACAAACGTCTAAACTCTACATGACTTACTTTTCACAAGTTTACTCTTAACATTGGGACATGGAAATTAGAGCAAATGCATTCAGAAATATCTAGTTTAGGGCTTACATTACTGCTTTGTTAAGGAAGGGTTTTAAGGTTTTGTTGAGAGAACGTTAGAAGAAAAACGCTTTGGAAAAACTTCATGTTTACTGTTTTCTAAGATGAGAGAAGTCATGTTTGACTGAAACAAATTCCCAGGCACCTGTGCTTTGAGTGCAAAGAAAGAACAGGCCCGCAGATGCATCCCAGTCACCAGAGACAGGCACAACAATTGCTTCTTGTCTCGTCCAGTACAGTGGGAAAGTCTGAAGATTTGAATAGAACAGAAAACACAAACCCAGGTCTCTCACTCCGAGGTAATTGTGGTATCCTCCCCGCTTCAAACGGTTGCTTGAGTCCGACCGGCCTGATAATGAGCTTTTTGCCCTCTTCACACATAATGAGTGGAGGTAGAGGGTTCACACGGCGAGACGCTGTGAGCACAGTGTGTCCGCTTGCAGCTGGGGGGGTGTCTGACTGACCAGGAACAAAGGCTTAGTGTCTGTGATAGTGTGGAGCCCCAGCCATCAGCAAGCAGGCCGATGGGCTTCTGCTTGACCGAGTTGTCAGTCCTCGCTCTCCTGCAGACTCACAGTGTGAAGAGGAACGCATGCAAAGCCCTAGTCAGCCAAATCTCAAAGTTTAACCAAAGAGACTTAAATTACACAAACAGAAGTTTGTGTTTTGGTTGCAAACGTGACGCAAGTGTTTTCCTGTTATTTTTCCATTTTGCTTAATTTTCCTAATAAGCCGTCTCTCACAGAATGTTACGCGATATTTATTTTCATCCTGCAAAGGAAATTAAATAAAACACAACATAGAGCTGAATAAATTTGTTGTGATTACTTGATAATGAAGATAAAGTATGCAGGATGCCTGTTTGATTTAGACGATGCATGCTACATGTCGTGTTAATAAACCTTTACTGAATATTCTCAGAAAATGCTTTATTTGAAACCAGAAGCATCATTTAATCTTTATTTGAGGTATATTCCAACTTACCATAGCAGAACTTTTAAAAATGTTATTAAAATTTCCTCATTTGTTTCTTGTTCCATCTTTACAGAAAGCTGATGAGCTTCCCTGGATTTCGCTGACATTCCCACTTTGTTTTGCCTGAAGATGGAAACACTCGAGTCTGAGCTGACCTGCCCAATCTGTCTGGAGCTTTTTGAGGACCCGCTGCTCTTGCCCTGCGCTCATAGTCTTTGTTTCAACTGTGCCCATCGGATCTTGGTCTCCCATTGCACCCCCAGCGAGCCTATTCAGTCGATCARCGCCTTCCAGTGTCCAACCTGTCGCTATGTCATCACCCTCAACCAGAGGGGCCTAGAGGGACTCAAACGCAACGTGACCCTGCAGAACATCATCGACCGGTACCAGAAAGCCTCCCTGAGTGGATCTAATTCTCCTAACGAGACGCGCCGAGAACGAGTGGTCCCTGACAGCAAAGCCATGACGTCCCCCTCGGATCGGGTGCAGTGCCAGTTCTGCGAGCAGGACCCTCCGCAGGAAGCGGTGAAGACCTGCGTCACCTGCGAGGTGTCGTACTGCGAGGAGTGCCTCAAGGCCACCCATCCGAACAAGAAACCCTTCACGGGCCACCGACTGATCGAGCCCTTGCTGGACTCTCATCTGCGAGGGCTCATGTGTCTGGAGCACGAGGACGAGAAGGTCAACATGTACTGCGTGACGGACGAACAGCTGATCTGTGCCTTGTGTAAGCTCGTTGGCCGACATCGAGACCACCAAGTAGCAGCCCTCGCCGATCGATTCGACAAATTGAAGGTAATAAAATACTCTGTGTTTAATATAATGCAAGCATCTGTGTATTATTATTTTTTGCTCCCCACATAAAAAAAATCATTTCTACGTTTGTCAAAAAGTTGTTTTCACCTCCTACAGTAGCTCAGTCATGCACAAGCAAAATAATTGTTTTTTTTCATTCAATATTTAACAAAGGCAAATATTTGCATGATTCAGTCAGACAAATCAAGGTTCACTGACAAATTTTTGAACAGCCTTGATAAAAAAAACACAAATAAAGACCAAAACAGTTAAAATCTTTTAGCTTTTTTGTCACTTTATCTCAAACAGATTCTTTATAAGAAATTTTTTAAATCATCTGTTATAACAGGAACAATATGATTTACACTATAAACAAAAAAGAAAAAAATTGCCTCCGAGAATATTTTGGCTGTCTCTCCTCTAAATTAAAAAAAATAAATCAGTCTTGTAGTCTTTATTGTAGTGATACTAGAATAAAGACAGTAGACACTTACCATGATGGATGGACAAGTACAGCTTAGTATTTATTTATTTTCTTTCTAGTTCATAAAAAGTTTTGGTTATGTTTTAGCTAATTCTACACTGCGGTGAACAAAATAACTCAGAAAAGTTTTTTCTTGAATTTTACGAGTTAAGTTGAAAAAGGTTTCTATTGTTTCAAAATAAAGCAGGACCTGAGGTGGAGTTTCCAGTTCTAGGTTAAGTGGAGCTGCTCACTTTCAGCAGCTTGGCTGACATCAATAAGACATGAGGCGCTGCTGTGAGCCAGAGCGTCAAAAAGGCGGCTCTGCTTTCCTTTCATTAAAAATTCAAATAGGCTCCTGTCAAGAGAAGTGTTGCCAACTAACACTTAGGTGTCTTATTGTGGATTCTGCAACAGCTTCACAGGATCACTTTAATGTCTGCGGAAGCAGATGAGCATCATTGAGGTTTTTATTACGAGAAAAGTTACCAGTAAACAAGCATGCTGGAATAAAAATCTRAATAAATTGCAGTGAAAATTCAGTGAAAACTGACCGCACTTCATTCCGATGTTCACTGAGCAGTCTGCATGTTAAAGACTCCATAATGGATGAACCAACACTCAGTCTTCGTGCATGACTCACTAAATGTATCAGTGAAACACAAAATGCTTGCTAGAATCTGGATGCAACCAGTTTTCAAGCAWCATTCGGAGTAAATAAGWAGATAAGTCTTAACTTCTCTCCTTCTTCTGATTATGCTGCTGCCGTGCAGACGCCTCTTCCTCATCGCCGCTTTCTCAGTGAGGGCCGTGATCAATCATACCAGGAGTCAGACCAGGTGATCAGCATCATCTCTTTAATGGAACACCAATCAGGACAAATTGGTTGTATTAATCTGCCTGAAAATTGCTTTTAATTCAAAAAGCATTTTGTGAAATTAAAGCAAAGTCCTCTCTGAAAATAGCCCCAACTGCTTTGTAACGTTGAGTAATGAGACATTGACCTTGGCTGTTATTATTGTGTGAGTTATCGTGCTCAGCTCTGTCTGTTGTGTTCTTATTAATGTTGCTAATGTGAGTGCTAATGTTGCTTAATAACATCCTCCTGGTGATTAATGGCATTTGGGATCAAAAGGAAGATAAACATAGTCCACTTTATCTTTCTGTCAGTTGTTAGCTGCAGTCTGATACGTTTTGTTTGATGAATATTAAGTAGATATCATTTAATATTCACTTACAATGTACTTTTAGTCTGGTTTATAGCTCTTTTCTCTAAGTTCATAYGTTTGTGTGTCTGCATGACTTCATATTACCTTAAGTTACCGCACTTCCATTGTTAGAGGCTTCAAGTGAAAGAGGAAATCAGAATTCCTATCTCCACTGTTTTGTTTATCATCCAACAATCAAACTATGAAAGAGGATGTGACATTAAATTAACTTGAAGAATGAGGAGACGAWAGTCAAAACACACGAAATGAATAACTGCTGAGGCACACTACTGCATTTAACTTGTGAGGTGTAGTCAACTGTAAATACCGCCCTTAAGAATAGAAGCCATGGTTTAATCAGTTCACCGTACAGTTGTACACTATTTACCTTAATTTTACATATGAACAGTATTCCGCTTAGTGTTAGGGTTTGTCCAGTTATGCATTCCTGTTTGAGTTTTTGGCACAAAGATTAGTTCAGATTAGTTTTTTGTCCTGTTTTCTGCTCCTGTGTCACACCTGCTTGTTTACTAGTAATCACACCTGCCTCTCAGCAGTCGTTATCTGAGCTCTGTATAAATACTTCCTGGTTTCCTGCCAGATCGTTATTGTTTGTAGCTCGCAGCAAAGTCGGTTTCATTAGGCTCCTGTTGGCTCTTGTTCTGTTATTCTTACCTCAGGTAGTTCTGGTTTTGTCAGCCTTCAGCAGCTTTCTGTAGCTGACATAAGCGTGTTTGGTTCTTCACATTTTCCTGCCTACACTCTTCCTGCTTTTAAGTCCTTTCTCCTTAACATGAAGCAAAGATGTTTGACGAACAAACGTAAAAATGACAATTTATACATTTTGATTCAAATGTTCTTTTACTTTTTAAAACCATTCTAAACCAGCTTTCTAAAACGAGATGCTAGGGTTAAACATACAATTGGTGTTTCAGACTGGAAGTTGGCAATACTGAATTCTTTGTGTCCTGTGGATTCTGGGTTTTGTATCAAAGTTCCTCTGTTTTTTTTTCTTGAATGTACTGTATAATCAAATCTTTGGAGTACAGCAGCTCTGAGCGCTTTCTTGTTCCCCTTGAGCCAAGACTTTTTGCATTTTGGCTSTCTGTTGAGTATTTTTGCAGCAGTAGCTTGTTTTTGGTGTTAAAATACCAATAGCATTGTAAAATGACTGTTACATGAAAGCTCTGTACCTGTCCTGCTTTTTAGATTTTGCTCACGTCAAATCTTGCAGGCCAAACTGGCACTTGAAAAGCAAATGACGTGTGCAGTTAGTAATGTCTGAGTGTAAAGTAGAATTTCTCTACAATGTCCAATGCATTTCAAATTGAATTATACCCTCTAATGAATTTAAAACTCATTCATGTGAAAGAAAACCTGAGCTACTCGCAGGATAAAAAGGCAGCCAGTTTTCTAAAATTCCAAATGTTGACACAGGATAAAAGTCGGTCCTGACAGTGACCTTGGACTAAAAAAAGGAAGGAAGAGAGTCTGGCCAATTCAAAGGTTTGGAGCCAGAAGCATTAGGAGGAAGCAGTTATTCGTTCCTCTCTTCAGATTGAACTGATTTTAGGAAACAGATCTTGATGACTGAGTGTTACCTAAACACGTGAGGAAGATTAATGCTGATGAAGGAACTGTATTTTAGGTGTTTTAGTAAATCACTGCATTAAACTCTTTGCACAAAATCCTTTATTTTGTGTCTCATGCAGTTATATTTAGATGTCAGAAGATGAAAAGAAACTGAAATCTTAAAAGCACAGAGATTTGACTATTTTAAGTCATTTGGATGAAGACATTGYGCTCCACGCAACCCTTCACTTGTACCTGCAAAACCGAAATGGCTTTCATCACATTCTTTTCAGAATAAATAAATCATATATGTGAAGGTAGGAATATAAAACCTCTGCTATTTTGGTATACAGTGACTCACACACCTTATAAAATCACAATGTGAAGCAACTAACACAAAAGTAGTTTCCCAACTGCTTTCTTCAGGCAGTTTTTGCAGTTTTTTTTTTTGACTGATCTGGACAAATGAATTGAAATAAGGGTGTAATATTTTTAATAAATCCCAAGCTTATTAT